CGGGAGTGATGCTGCTGGCAGGAGCCCATGTGATGCTGGGCTAGCGCCGCTTGCTCCCTCGTCCCTCTCCCCGCTCGCTCGCAGCCTGTCATGGCGACTCCCAATAATGTTACTCCCACCAACTGCAGCTGGTGGCCCATCTCAGCGCTGGAGAACGACGCAGGGAAATCCACGGAGGGGGAGGAAAACCAGGACCCAACAGACCCCGCTCTCAAATCCCAGGACAGACTGGTTTTGTACCACTGGACCCAGTCCTTCAGCTCGCAAAAGGTAAAAAAGAAAAAAATAATCGCTCGGCCGGGTTCCTAGGGAAGAATCACCTCCAGTCCCCAGGGCATCCCCTGGCCTGGGGAGGATGGATGCAATCGCGGGGAGAGCAAGGGGCTCGTCCCCAGGGCTGGTGAGGGCATCAGCGTGTGGACGGGCAGCTCTTTTGTACCAGCGGTTCTGCCTTTTAACAGCGTCTGCCTGGAGAGAGGACGGGGATGGGCGGCAGGGGCTCAGCCAAACCCTGCTTTTGCTTTGGAATCGCGGCTTGCACCACGAGCCACCTCGGCTTTGTGCTCGCTCGCAGCCTGACCCTGGTGTGGCCAGGAGCGCAGACAAAGGCTGAGCTGGGCCCCAGGACCACCCTGCTGCTGGGAGAGGGGGAAGCAGCCCCCGAGCCGGGCTCCTTCCAGGGAGCGGACCCCGGCACACAGCGACAGTTTACCCATCACATTGCAGCAGCGCCCTGGAAATCCTATTCCAGGGGTGCCCCAGCGAGAAATCACATTTTCCGGGCAATAGTAAACACTCATTTTGCAAGCACAGCAGCTGTGTAGCAAACCCGACCTCCCCCTCCTGGCCCCAACCCCCCTGTCATTCCCTCACCATTAATATTAAGCGACAGTTTACCCCTCACATTGCAGCAGCGCCCTGGAAATCCTATTCCAGGGGTGCCCCAGCGAGAAATCACATTTTCCGGGCAATAGTAAACACTCATTTTGCAAGCACAGCAGCTGTGTAGCAAACCCGACCTCCCCCTCCTGGCCCCAACCCCCCTGTCATTCCCTCACCATTAATATTATATGGGGAATGGGCTATTCGGAGGGATGGGGGGGAACACAAAGTTCCCCTGGTGCAAGGGCCCCCTGGAGCCCCGTGGGGAAGCCGGCGGCAGAGACGCCCCGTTCTACTCGCAGGCACAAAGGAAGGGGAGGATGCCCAATGCAGCAGGGTGCCTGCACATGGTTGGCTTTGCCGCTGCCAGCAGCGAGTGACTAATGGGCTCCTGATCCGCACTGGTGAGGGATGCTCGTGCCCAGCTCCCCTGCCTCGCGCTGGGCTC